CAATTCAAGTTTCAATCTATCAAAATTTAAATTTTATTCCAAATTCAATTTAATTTTCTAGTGAACCAGCTTGATATCGATCCTAATTTTTATTCTTTTAATGAAATTGCAATTTATTTAAACTACAATTAAATTCAAAATTCAAATGATCAACATTTAAATTTTAATTTAATGTTTAAATTTATAATTTAAATTAAAAATAATTCCAGTTTAAATTTATTTTCTCCAAATAATCCAACTTTGAATGAATTCTAATTTTTATTATTTAAAAACAAATCAAAATTTGGTTAAATTTCTGTTTAATTAAAATTTAATTCAATTCAAATTCCAATTGATCAAAATTTAAATTTTATTTAAGTTTTAATTTAGGTTTCAAATGATCCAACTTTTATTGTATGGTTATTTTGAATTTATTTTATTAATTTTTTTAATTTTTATTTGCATGGTAATTAAAATTTAATTCAATTCAAATTCCAATTAATCAAAATTTAAATTTTATTCAAGTTTTAATTTAAGTTTCAAATGATCCAACTTTTAATGAATGATAATTTTGAAGTTAAATTAAATTTTTAAAAATTTCGCTTTTTATCGACTTGTAATTAAGTGTATTGAAAATTTTAATTAAATGAATTTCAACTTATTTTAATTTTAATCAAAAGCAAATTCAATATTTATCGAAACTTAAAATTATAAAAATTCACTAATTTGTATTTTTTTTTTTTTTTCAAAAAAGAGAGAGGTGTACTCTAATTTCTGTGCATATATAATATTGTACAAGAATTTTAACATATATATTAATCACTTTGGATTATACGCTGAACGTAATTTCTGGCGTTTATGATTCAGGAGATAAGAGAACGTGCTTGCGGCGCATTAGATTCTCTAACATCGATATTCCGTGACATAAATTGCGCATACCGCACACGTCTAAGAACGAGAAGAATGGCCTGTAGAGGCACGTGTTCCAGTATTACGCTAATTTAGCCTCGGTAGTGCACGTGTTGGATGTCTCAATTAGTCAGGACCAGTGCTCTCATTCGTGAGGGAAGAAGCAACTAATTGCCAAAACGAGAATTGTGAGTCAACAATACTTGTTTTTTTTTTTTTATTACCGTTACTTTTTATTTTTTTACTTTTTTTTTCAGCTGTGCGTTAGAATATTGAAAAGAGTGTTAACGAGATCATTATTGGCACTCTCTTGCTCCCAATTATCGTCAATCATGAATAATTCACAAACTTTAATAATTGCCTTGCTTTTGAGTGTGTTTTTTTTTTTTTTTTTTTTTTTTTTTTTTTGTTATTGTTATTCTAGCAACAGGAACGAAAAATGTTCTTTACTTGAAAATAATAATGGGAAGTAATTCTAAAGCTGATAATTAAATACTTAATGACGTAACTTCCATGTATTTAAAAAACAGCGTGAAGAAAAGAAAGTCTGATGGAAAAGCTTCCGAGACAGAAATTAATTTTTAATTATAGAAGAAATTTACTATTTTCGAAAATTAATTACATTCAATTAATTTAATTACAATTACAATCTCTTTTTCAAAATGTTTATAATAGCGAAACGAACATATATTTTTGAAAATTGTTAAGAAAATTAATAAAATAAATACCTAAATAAAAAATAATAACACTTTAGGGAAAATTTGAAATATTAATTTTTTTTAGTTTTTGTACACACGACAATATTTATTTTTATTTCGGATCACAAGTTCCCTGGAATGCAAAAATTTTATTCGTAAAATAAAAAGTTGTCACTGCGGACTTAATTTGATTATCAATCTTGATATTCAGTTTTTTGTGTGTTACAAAGTAAAGGGTGAAAAAAACATTAATATTAAAAGTGAACGGAATGTACATTTAATCGTGATTCGTTACCAAAAAAAAAAAATGTTGAAACTATTTTTTTCTATATATAAAGGGGGTGAAAAAATTTTTGCATATATGTGTGATTTACGTCAGCAATGGTCGACGTATGAATGTCGCTTGAGATCGTATATGGATTCCCATATTGCAATAAAAAATAAAAAAAAAGAGTCGTATGTGTTCCGAGTCAGCACGAAAACTGAATTTTCTTTTGAAATCAAACTTTTATTATATTGAACTCATATACATACCAGAAGGAGAATTCTCTTTTTTTTGTCAAATTCTCCTTGATATTTGATAAAATGTTTTCTATGTATGTAAATTTTAAACTTTTCTAAGACATAATTTTTGTTTTGGAAGAAAATTGTAAAAACTGTACATAAAGCTCTATGAATTGACAATTATTTTTTATGGTAGTAATTAGTGAAGTTGATGATTTTCTTTTCTTGGTCGGGAGATAAAATTAAGTAATTCGATAAAAAAATTCTTTTTAAGAATTCAATTACTTTCAATACAATTTTAATAAAATTTCGCAAAAAAATTCAATTATTTTTAAAACTTATAAAATTTTTTTATAAGAATTTAATTATTTCCAATACAATTTTAATTAATGTTATTTAAAGAATTTAATTATTTTCAAAAATTTTAATGAAATTCTTTGCGTAACAATTCAATTTTTAAAAAAAATAATTTAAATAATATTCTTTGCAGAAATCCAATTATGTTTAAAAATTTACAAAAATTCAATTATTTTCAAAACTATTAATAAAATTCTTGGTAGAATTTCAATTATTTTTAATACAATTTTCATCAAATTTCTCGAAAAATGCAATTATTTAAGAAAAATTAAATGAATTTCTCCGCAGAAATTCAATTATTTTCAAAAAATTTGATAAAATCCTTTCAAAGAATTTAATTATTTTTAAAATTTTAATATAATTCTTCGTAGAAATTCGTTTATTTATTAAACAATTTTAATTAAATTTCTGCAAAAAATTAATTATTTTCAAAAGATTCAATAAAATTCTTCAAAAAATTGAATTATGTTTAAAAAATTTAATGAATTTCTTCGCAAGAATTAAATAATTTTCAAGAATAATAAAATTTTGCGCAGGTATTCAATTATTTTAATACAATTCTAATTAAAATCATTTAAAGAATTTAATTATTTTCAGAAATGTTCATAAAATTTTATAAAACAATTCAATTATTTTCAAAAAATTTAATAAAATTGTTCGTAAGGATTCAATTATTTTAAAAATTATAAGAAACTTTTTCGAAGAAATTCAATAATTTTTAATATAATTTTAATAATATTTTTAGAAAAAATTCAATTATTCAAGAAAAATTAAACGAAATTCTCCGCAAAAATTCAATTATTTTAAAAAAATTTCATAAAATCCTTTCAAAGAATTTAATTATTCTAAGACCATTAGTATAATTCTTCGCAGAAATTCAATTTTTTATTAAACATTTTTATTTAAATTTTTGTAAAAAATTTAATTATGTATTTTCAAACGATTCAATAAAATTCTTAAAAGAATTGTATTATTTTTAAAAAATTTAATGAAATTCTTTACAAGAAATGAATAATTTTCATCAATAATAAAATTTTTCGCAGGTATTAAATTATTTTCAATACAATTTTAATTAATTTTTTCTAAAAAGTTTAACTTAACTTTATATGTAACTATTTCATGTTTTAGAAGATTAAATTAAAATAACTAATTAAGTTAGATATATTTAATTAACTTTTAATTAAAAACAATATTGTTGAATTAATTTTTCTTATTATTTAATTTCCAAAATGTTAAATTAGAATTTAATTAATTTATTATTTTTTATTATTTCAACTATTATTTATTAAAATTAGAAATCAAAACATTTGAAAAGAAAAATTCTTAAAAAAATTAGGAAACATGGAAGCAAACAAAGATTTTTTATCCAACTATTATTTAATTTTCTATCCTACGAGCAATTAAAGAAAATTTTCATCACAACTTAATTATTGTTTTATTTTTTTGGCTAAGGGTTTTATGGAAAGGGAAGAACAGAAAAATTACAAATTTTTTTTTTGTCAATGCTTGAATGGTAGACGTTTCCGTACAGATATCATGGTTATTTACCTTGGTAGATTCTTTTCAATAAAATCACTTCCTGTTGCTTCGGGCAATCTGCGAAATTGCTTCTATTTTGCCAGAATATTACACAAACAAAATGTTACTTTATTCCTTGCAGATTGTTATTTCTAGCGTGTACTTGATTTAAAAAAAAACAAAAAATAAAACAGAAAGAATAACAAAAAAAAAAAACAGTCAAGTTTTTTTTCCGTTTGGAAGAATTCTTTCATTGTTGTCGATATTTTTAATTTAAAAAATGTTTAATAAAGCGTTCCGTTGGAAAAATTTCTCACTGATGCAATATTCTTTTATATTATGGAAAAAAGGGAGAAATCTTTTTTCATAAATAGTGTATAGAATGCATTTTATCAACAATCAGGTTCTAAAATTGAATTTAAATTGAAAAAATCCCGTTCTTACCATTGATTAGAAAAAAATTGGTTTTTATTTTTTAATAAATTTGGTACAATATTATTTAAAAGTTTTTTTAAATTAAATTTTGTAAACAAGTATTTTTTTCAATTTTTTGGAAACAAATATTTTTTCAATATTATGTAAACAAATATTATTTTTCAATATTTTGTAAAAACGAATAGTTTTTTTTATATAAATACATAGTAAACCAAATTTTTAAAAATATTTTAAATAAATATTTTATTCCATATTTTTAATACAACTATATTATTCCAATATTTTGTAAAAAAGTTTTTTAAAATATTTTTTAAAGAAATGCTTTATTCAGTACCTGTTGTGAACAAATCTTTTTTTCAATATTTTGTAAACTAATATTTTTTTCAATATTTCGAAAACAAGTTTTTTTTAAATATTTTATTCCATACTTTTAATACAAATATATTTTTTCTTTTGTAAACAAGTTGTATTTAAAATTTTTTAAATAAATATTTTTTCAATATTTTCTAAACAAGTTTTATTAAATATTTTTAAACAAACAATTTTAAAATTTATTTTAAACAAATACTTTATTCAATATATTTTAGATACAAATATTTTTTTCAATATTTTGTAAACAAGTTTCTTTTCCAATATTTTTTAAACAAATATTTTTTTTCAATTTCAACAAATTTCTTTCATACAATTGCTATTTTACTTTTACCGCTTTTATCTCGAAGACTGTGAATTTCAGTTTTTCCTTTTTGTATGGACATATTTGAAATACTTTTTTGAAAAAATTTCCTTCTATTTTTTTTTAAAAAATCTATACAACATTCAAAGATAACCATCGTAGTTTCATTTTTTTTTATCTCTGGAAATAATTTCTTTTTTTCGATTACAATGCGGTTGTAATTCATAAATAATTTTCATTGACAAATCGATACTGACTTATTGATTTAGCAGTCTGCGATTAAATTGAATCGCATTTTGGTCGCATGCTAATTTGCAATCTAAACCGCGTGTAACAACGCTTCCCTGGACAAAATACTCGCGCGCGCACAACGATTGTGCGAAAAAGAATTGTCACGAACTTTTCTCTATTCTCATTTTACGCAGTTGAATTCTATTATATACTATCTCGAATTTTTCACCCGCAAAAAAAATGCGAGTTTGAATTTTTTAGCCGCAAAAAAATGCGAGTTTGGAATACTTTTTTTTTAATCCGCTTTAAAAAGTAGAGCGTGTTGGAGGATATTTTTTTTTTTTTTTGAAAAGTCGAAAAAAGTGTCCCTCGTAGATTTCAGGATCAACAGACCGTGACGAATGAAAGGGTGGTTGTTGTCTTTGGTGATGAGTACGCGTGAATCGATTGCGAATACCTTGATTGTCAAATGCGCAGGGGATCCGTGTGTGGATGAGAAGGCTTATGTCGAGCAGCACAAAAACTCAGACCAAAGCACAGCATAAGTAAAGCCACAGAACCAACCATGAGATGACTCGACCAAGATACCGAGCACTTTCCTGAAACAAAGAGAGAGAGAAAAAAATAAGCTCCTACGCCACTCGAACTACTTGCCAATTCAAAGAGCAGTCACGAGAGAATGAGGGGATTCAATGCACTCGGAGACTCTCACAGATGCTTCCACACTTAAGGGACAAAGAAGATATTCAAAAGCATTCTTATCATTTTCACTTCAATAAAATATCCCATGGTAATTACGGGAGATGTAATGGAAATTTTTCTTTTTTTTGACCTTTTTTATTTTGAATGTCATCTTTTTTTTGTTATTTTTTCTCGTCTGTTTAATTTGAATTTTAAAGAGCGTTTCCCTAGGTCGGGAAAATCAGAAAAAGTTATAAAACTTTATCGAAAATATTGGAAAAATTTGGTTCAAAGAAATGTTTTTGGTTCAATTACACATTTTATTATTGAAATACATTTTTTGGTTCAAACACACATTTAATGCTTAAAATAATTTATTTTGGTCCAAATAAAAATTGTAGGATTCAAATAAAATTTTTTGTATGAAATAAAAATTTTAATTGGTTCAAAGAACATTTTTTATAAAGCAGAACAATAGGCAACAACAAATCAATTGTTTATAAACAATTAATTTTGTTGTTGCCTATTGTTCCTTAGATGTTTAGTTACAAGAATTTACTTTTACAAAATAATTTTGGCAAAATTACTAGTCAAAATACTCCATCCGCCAATTAGCAGACAATCGAATTTTCGGGTTTTGAGGAGCTAAGAGCTTTAAAAAATTAAATTGTTTATAAACAATTAATTTTGTTGTTGCCTTTTGTTGCTTAGATGTTTATTTGCAAGAATTTTATTTAGTAAAATAATTTTGGCAAAATTACTAGTCAAAATACTCCATCCGCCAATTAGCAGACAATCGAAATTTTGACTTTTCAGGAGCTAAGAGCTTTAAAAAATTAAATTGTTTATAAAAAATTAATTTTGTTGTTGCCTATTGTTCCTTAGCTGTTTAGTTACAAGAATTTACTTTTACAAAATAATTTTGGCAAAATTACTAGTCAAAATACTCCATCCGCCAATTAGCAGACAATCGAATTTTCGAGTTTTCAGGAGCTAAGAGCTTTAAAAAATTAAATTGTTTATAAACAATTAATTTTGTTGTTGCCTTTTGTTGCTTAGATGTTTATTTGCAAGAATTTTATTTAGTAAAATAATTTTGGCAAAATTACTAGTCAAAATACTCCATCCGCCAATTAGCAGACAATCGAATTTTCGAGTTTTGAGGAGCTAAGAGCTTTAAAAAATTAAATTGTTTATAAACAATTAATTTTGTTGTTGCCTTTTGTTGCTTAGATGTTTATTTGCAAGAATTTTATTTAGTAAAATAATTTTGGCAAAATTACTAGTCAAAATACTCCATCCGCCAATTAGCAGACAATCGAATTTTCGAGTTTTGAGGAGCTAAGAGCTTTAAAAAATTAAATTGTTTATAAAAAATTAATTTTGTTGTTGCCTTTTGTTGCTTAGATGTTTATTTGCCAGAATTTTATTTAGTAAAATAATTTTGGCAAAATTACTAGTCAAAATACTCCATCCGCCAATTAGCAGACAATCGAATTTTCGAGTTTTGAGGAGCTAAGAGCTTTAAAAAATTAAATTGTTTATAAACAATTAATTTTGTTGCTGCCTTTTGTTGCTTAGATGTTTATTTGCAAGAATTTTATTTAGTAAAATAATTTTGGCAAAATTACTAGTCAAAATACTCCATCCGCCAATTAGCAGACAATCGAATTTTCGAGTTTTGAGGAGCTAAGAGCTTTAAAAAATTAAATTGTTTATAAAAAATTAATTTTGTTGTTGCCTTTTGTTGCTTAGATGTTTATTTGCAAGAATTTTATTTAGTAAACTAATTTTGGCAAAATTACTAGTCAAAATACTCCATCCGCCAATTAGCAGACAATCGAATTTTCGAGTTTTGAGGAGCTAAGAGCTTTAAAAAATTAAATTGTTTATAAACAATTAATTTTGTTGTTGCCTTTTGTTGCTTAGATGTTTATTTGCAAGAATTTTATTTAGTAAAATAATTTTGGCAAAATTACTAGTCAAAATACTCCATCCGCCAATTAGCAGACAATCGAAATTTTGACTTTTCAGGAGCTAAGAGCTTTAAAAAATTAAATTGTTTATAAACAATTAATTTTGTTGTTGCCTATTGTTCCTTAGCTGTTTAGTTACAAGAATTTACTTTTACAAAATAATTTTGGCAAAATTACTAGTCAAAATACTCCATCCGCCAATTAGCAGACAATCGAAATTTTGACTTTTCAGGAGCTAAGAGCTTTAAAAAATTAAATTGTTTATAAACAATTAATTTTGTTGTTGCCTTTTGTTGCTTAGATGTTTATTTGCAAGAATTTTATTTAGTAAAATAATTTTGGCAAAATTACTAGTCAAAATACTCCATCCGCCAATTAGCAGACAATCGAATTTTCGAGTTTTGAGGAGCTAAGAGCTTTAAAAAATTAAATTGTTTATAAAAAATTAATTTTGTTGTTGCCTTTTGTTGCTTAGATGTTTATTTGCAAGAATTTTATTTAGTAAAATAATTTTGGCAAAATTACTAGTCAAAATACTCCATCCGCCAATTAGCAGACAATCGAATTTTCGAGTTTTGAGGAGCTAAGAGCTTTAAAAAATTAAATTGTTTATAAAAAATTAATTTTGTTGTTGCCTTTTGTTGCTTAGATGTTTATTTGCAAGAATTTTATTTAGTAAAATAATTTTGGCAAAATTACTAGTCAAAATACTCCATCCGCCAATTAGCAGACAATCGAAATTTTGACTTTTCAGGAGCTAAGAGCTTTAAAAAATTAAATTGTTTATAAACAATTAATTTTGTTGTTGCCTTTTGTTGCTTAGATGTTTATTTGCAAGAATTTTATTTAGTAAAATAATTTTGGCAAAATTACTAGTCAAAATACTCCATCCGCCAATTAGCAGACAATCGAATTTTCGAGTTTTGAGGAGCTAAGAGCTTTAAAAAATTAAATTGTTTATAAACAATTAATTTTGTTGTTGCCTTTTGTTGCTTAGATGTTTATTTGCAAGAATTTTATTTAGTAAAATAATTTTGGCAAAATTACTAGTCAAAATACTCCATCCGCCATTAGCAGACAATCGAAATTTTGACTTTTCAGGAGCTAAGAGCTTTAAAAAATTAAATTGTTTATAAACAATTAATTTTGTTGTTGCCTTTTGTTGCTTAGATGTTTATTCGCAAGAATTTTATTTAGTAAAATAATTTTGGCAAAATTACTAGTCAAAATACTCCATCCGCCAATTAGCAGACAATCGAATTTTCGAGTTTTGAGGAGCTAAGAGCTTTAAAAAATTAAATTGTTTATAAACAATTAATTTTGTTGTTGCCTTTTGTTGCTTAGATGTTTATTCGCAAGAATTTTATTTAGTAAAATAATTTTGGCAAAATTACTAGTCAAAATACTCCATCCGCCAATTAGCAGACAATCGAAATTTTGAGTTTTGAGGAGCTAAGAGCTTTAAAAAATTAAATTGTTTATAAACAATTAATTTTGTTGTTGCCTATTGTTTCTTAGATGTTTATTTACAAGAATTTACTTTTGCAAAATAATTTTGGCAAAATTACTAGTCAAAATACTCCATCCGCCAATTAGCAGACAATCGAAATTTTGAGTTTTCAGGAGCTAAGAGCTTTAAAAAACTAAATTGTTAATAAACAATTAATTTTGTTGTTGCCTTTTGTTGCTTAGATGTTTATTTGCAAGAATTTTATTTAGTAAAATAATTTTGGCAAAATTACTAGTCAAAATACTCCATCCGCCAATTAGCAGACAATCGAATTTTCGAGTTTTGAGGAGCTAAGAGCTTTAAAAAATTTAATTGTTTATAAACAATTAATTTTGTTGTTGCCTTTTGTTGCTTAGATGTTTATTTGCAAGAATTTTATTTAGTAAAATAATTTTGGCAAAATTACTAGTCAAAATACTCCATCCGCCATTAGCAGACAATCGAAATTTTGACTTTTCAGGAGCTAAGAGCTTTAAAAAATTAAATTGTTTATAAACAATTAATTTTGTTGTTGCCTTTTGTTGCTTAGATGTTTATTCGCAAGAATTTTATTTAGTAAAATAATTTTGGCAAAATTACTAGTCAAAATACTCCATCCGCCAATTAGCAGACAATCGAAATTTTGAGTTTTGAGGAGCTAAGAGCTTTAAAAAATTAAATTGTTTATAAACAATTAATTTTGTTGTTGCCTATTGTTTCTTAGATGTTTATTTACAAGAATTTACTTTTGCAAAATAATTTTGGCAAAATTACTAGTCAAAATACTCCATCCGCCAATTAGCAGACAATCGAAATTTTGAGTTTTCAGGAGCTAAGAGCTTTAAAAAACTAAATTGTTAATAAACAATTAATTTTGTTGTTGCCTTTTGTTGCTTAGATGTTTATTTGCAAGAATTTTATTTAGTAAAATAATTTTGGCAAAATTACTAGTCAAAATACTCCATCCGCCAATTAGCAGACAATCGAATTTTCGAGTTTTGAGGAGCTAAGAGCTTTAAAAAATTTAATTGTTAATAAACAATGGATTTATATGTTAAATTATGTTCGTAGAATATTTGTCTGCAACTCTATAGTGAAAGAAATTATCGCGAAAAAGAAAGAATGAAGAATTGATCATTTTAAATTATTCTGTGGCGACGCCTATGGAATTGTGAGGCGTCTGGCGGTTGGCGGGTCGCTAGTTTCACGGCACCTCAAAGAAATGTTTTTAGTTCAAATGCAAATTTTATGATTGAAATACATTTTTTTTTGGTTCAAAAAAGATTTTTAGGTTTCAAATAAAATTTTTTGGATCAAATAAAAATTTTGTTTGATTCAAAGAAAAAATTTTATGAAGCAGTAATAAATTTTATTGGTTTCAAAATAAGTATATCGTTCAAATAATTTTTTTTATTCAAATCAAATTTGTGGCTTAGAAAAAAAATTATTTTGGTTAAAATAAGGTCTTTTAGGATCAAATCAATTTTATTTGGCCTTTACTTGCTTCAAAAACAATTTTATTTCTTCAAAATTATTTTTATTTAGCTGAAATAAATTATGGTTTGTTCAAATAACAATTTTATTTCTCAAATATATTTTATTTGTTTTGTAATTACATATCATTTGAAATATGTTTTATTTGGTTTAAATAAAGTTTGTTTGGTTCAAATAAATTAAAATAAAATAATCTTATGTTTCAAATAAATTTTATTTGGTTCAAATGAATTTTTTTGTGTTCAAGCAGCAATTTCATGATTCAATTAAATTGTTTTTGGTTCAAATAAAGATGTAATATTATAATTAAAAAAAAATTATCGAATTTTTGATGAGTTGTCTTCGCAGTTTTTTTGATAAAGAATTGAATTTTAGGTTTTAAATTGAAAATTTTTGATAATTTTAATTCTTTTGAAAAAAAAATAATTGAAAATATTCACAAATTAATGTTTTGGAAAATTTTCTTTTCCATGTCTAATTATTTCTAGAAGAATTCTTAGGAGAATAAATTAAAATTCTGTCTGAAAATCAGGGAAAAACGATCACAAATTTTCCTGGCAACCCTTTTAGAAAATTATTAATTTTTGTTTTTTAAATCATTTTTACATTTATATTACAAAATAAATTATTTATGTAAATTCCACTAATCTCTCTCGCTCTTAATTTTGCATATTTAGAAAAAAAGTACAATAAGAAATTTTTTTTCTCATTAAAGTTTAAAAATATTCAAAGAATTTCTATATAATTTTTTAGTTGAAAATATAACTTTTGCTCGAGCACATCTAAAGGGACACAGCTTGTAAGCATAAAAATCACAAGCCTCACGTACTTTAAATATTTCTTTCAACACAGTCAAGAGCTCGTACATTTTTCTTCATGGTTACTTATAATTTTATATAAAAAGAAATTTTTATCAAAAAGATATTTTTACTCTATATATAATAATGTATGCTTTATGTAGAATATAATTCAATTTTTCTCTAAAAATTAAAATAAAAAACACTCTATAAAAAATGGAGTTTTTTCTTTACTGTCCATTTATTTTCTCTGAATTCTTTTATTTTTTTTTTTTAAATAAACCAATATCTTCTTATAATGCATGGAAGAGACAAATTCAAATTTCGTTCAGCTTCGTGAGCAAAACTGCGTTATTTCCCTTGATAAAGTGCAAGATGGGACGCGAATAGTTCAAGGAGAGAAATATTGAGAGGGGTGAAGAGGAGCGAGAGAGAGAGAGAAAAGAGAGAGAAGGAGAGAAAGAAAAGAAAATTTAAAAGAAAAAGAAACTAAAGGTTCAAGAGTGAGTGGGGTCTCTGTCTCTCTTTCTCTCTTTTGTAGAAAATATGGTAACGACTGGAGGCGTCGTTTACGCAGCCGTTTTGTGAAACGTTTAAAACCGACAGACCAGACGGTTACTTGGATGTCGTCATTGGAATGAGAATTCTCGTCGTCGACGACGTCGTCGTCTTTGAGAGACCTTTCCCCCCTTCCCTTACCCCCCATCACCATTAAATCTGTCATTTAGGTTTGCAACTGGGTTTCGAGTACTCACCGAGATTGTAGACATTTGCGGATCTGCCGCAGGATTCTCTGACTTCTCGGTTATCCCATCCAATTGGGTACATCACGAGTCCCCCGCATATCATCACTGCTGTAACAGTTGCAGAGAGAAAAAAAATTTTTTTTTTTTACAATTACTACTTAATAGTGCTTTATTGAAGAGAAGAAAAATTTATCATATTCTTTTATTTTTTTTTGGCAAGAAAGAAAAAAATTCTCATCTTTTATTTTGTTTGGTCAGAAATTGTTGCTAAATCATTTTTATTAAAAATTAAGACGAAATAAAAAATTATTTGAAAACAATTAAGAAAAAGTATCAATTGCCATTTGGCAATTGATACTTTTTCTTAATTTTTTTCAAATTATTTTTTATTTTTTTTTAATATATATGAAACTCTCTCTTTTAGTCAGAGGGGAATAATTTTTTTGACACACATTTTATTTTTTTCAGTAGTGCACGTCTAGTATTGTCAGACAGTTAAAATTCTTTATTTTTATTTATTTTTTTTTTGAAAATTAATAGTAGATATTAGTAGTGAAAATAAATAGTCAGTAATAAATTTTACTAAAATCTCGAATTTTGTCATTAAGTAGAAATAGTAATTTTTTTATGCAGACAATTTTTTGGATTGAAATTCGAAATCAGTAGTAAACATTAATTTTAGTCAGACACTGACAGCTGTCGGACAGTTGAAGTTATTTATTTTTATATATATATTTTTTTTTTTGAAAATTAATAGTAGATATTAGTAGTGGAAATAAATTTCAGTCAATAATAAATTTTGCTAAAATATCGAATTTTGTCTTTAGTAGAAAAAGTAATTTTCACAGACATTTTTTTTGGATTGAATTTCGAAATCAGTAGTAAACATTGAGTTTAGTCAGACACTGACCGAGTTCTGTTGCAACTTTTTTTAGCATGAGTAGTAGTAGAATATTTTAGTCAGACAGAATGTTTTTTAATACACATTTTATTTTTGTCAGTAGTACAGTTCTATTTGTTGTCAGACAATTTGTTGAAATTAGTGTATTTTTTATATTTTTTAAAATCAATATTAAATATTAGTTGTAAAAATAAATTTCACTCAATAATAGTAAAAATAAATATTTGTCAATAATAGTAAAAGTGAATATCAATTAGTAATAGTAAAAATAAATTTCAGTCAGTAATAAATTTTACCAAAAGTCAAATTTTGTCATGAGTAGAAAAAGTGATTTTCACACAGACTTTTTTTTTGATTGAATTTCAATATTAGTAGTAAATATTGAGTTTAGTCAGACACTGACAGAGTTCTATGGTAATTTTTTAGCATTAGTTATAAAAATGCTAGAAAATAATTAAATTTTGTAAGAATTTCAGCTTTAGTTTTTAAACATAATAAAATTTCAGAATATTTGAAATTTGAATTTAAAATACTTGAATTTCTGTAAAAAAAAATAAGTTTAACAAGTATTTAAATATTATTTAGCAAAATTTTTGAATTTTTGAAATAGCACTTTTTTTAAATTAAACGTTTGAAACGTTGATTATTAGGAATCTGTCGCCTATTAACCGTTACTTGAATAACAAACGGTTATGATTGTTTACAAAAAAAAAAAACCCAATTTCTAAGCAATTCCGGAGTTTTCCAATTTTTCCCACTTCAGACAAAAAGTAATTTTAAAAGAAACTTTTAAAACTATCGCAAGTGATGAAAATTTTTGAGTGAATTTTGTGATTACGAAGTCGCAATGTTGAATTCTTTTATTATTCGCTTTCTATACTTAAGGGAAACCATTATGAAACGAAACGATTTTGCAAAGTAGTTGAAATACTCCAATTTAGAAAATCGTCATATTGCACTTTGGAATTATATATGCGAATAGACTGGCATTTATCAGAAGATTTTAACCTTAATGACATACACTCATCTTTTGTTCAGAGAAAAAAAAGGGAGAAAGAGAGAAAAGAATTCAATCATTTTAAATTACGAAACTTAAAAGCTTGATTGTGGAAACTTTTTTTTATTTGAATATATAAAAGAAAATAATACGTATTTCGACTTAGTTGATTTTAGTAAAAATATGGATGAAACTTTTCATGTGAAAATTAAATTTGAAATCATGAATTTTATATATCTCGAAAGTGAGTTTTCCGTAATGAAGGAGGATTCAGAATGAAACCCTTGGGACCATTATCCAGTGATTAAACTCAAGGTTTTCGACGTAACTCGGTTTATATTCGCTTTTAATAATGTTAAAACTTTAACTAAATCTATTTATTTTCAAGATGAGGTAATTAATGTTTCTTGTTCTTTAAATTATATTGCAAAGAAGAAATAGTTAATTTTTGTTAAATTCAAAAAGGAGGAATTTTATTTAAATTCTGTCGAACTTAGGAAAATATCCAAATATTGTTTTTACTTTTACAATTTATAGTAAAAAAGTAAAAAGAAATAGTTTTTACTTTTTACAATTTTGTTGAATTAGGGTACTTTTTACAGAAGAGAAAAAAAATTGAAATAAGCAACTTTTCGATGTATTTTACAAATTTTTTTTCTTTATTTTTCTTTTTTTTTTTGATTAGGAGAGATTTTTACGATGCTTTTTAATTTCACGGCGAAAAGGAAGCAATATTTTTAATCGATAACTGGCTGTCCTTTGTTAAAAGCTTTTCTATTTTCTGAAGTGTGATATGTCCTGTTTTTCAAAGAGTGAATGAGAGCTACTTTAATGGCTGAAGCGGGTACTCACCAGATAAAAGCTGAAGAGATCCAAGAGCCCGAGTATGCTTCGGAGTCTTAAGAACATGTGGAAGAAAAGAGGACGCCGCTGCCAAAAGCGTAAGCGCTCCAATCACAGCAATAGCAACTCCCAGACCAATAGTCACTGTGCTCGCTTGCCACCATGGACTTGGAATATCCCAAAAACTGAAAAATCATTAAAATCAATATTTACTATTGAAAACGATTTTTTAGCCACTATAATAGTACTGTTCCTTTAACCGAATATTTAAATTTTATCAATTTATTTAGTAAACAAATCAATTCTGAGTCTAAATATAAACTTAAAACAAATAAGAGCATAAACATAACAAATTAAAGTTAATTCAAAATTTAAATCCATTTAAATCTATTACTTTTTATAAATAGAAAAATTCTTCGCACAAATGCAATTTTTTTTAATGCAATTTATTTAAAGTCGAAAAAATTTGCAAGAAGTCAATTATTTTCAAAAATAATAATAAAAAACTTCAAATGAATTCAATGATAATAAAATTTCTCAAAAGAATTCAATTTTTTTTAATTTTAATAAATTTTACGCAAAAATTCAATTATTTTCAAAAATGTTAATAAAAATTGTTACACAATTTCGATTATTTTTTTAGAATATGAAAAAATGTCGTTTATTTAATTCAGTGTTGTTACAAAAATTTTATTTTGTATTTCCCTGATCATTCAATGATTTCTTAATTCAATTATTTAGAACTTGAATAATTTTGTTAAATAATTTAAATAATTCTTATGTGTTTTTATTAAAAGAATTTCAATTTAAAACCTAAAAAATTTAATAATTTTTAAAAATTACAAAATAACCCTTCTAAAATTAAATTATTTTCCATAATTTTTAATTAAACTTTATCTCTAAATCTGTTTATTGAAAATAATTTTCCAAAAGTTCTTCGAGAATTTAATTATTCAAATACAAAAAATTCAATTTTTTAAAATAATTGTAACAGTAACTATCCTTTTTTAAAGTTATTAAGGTATAATATTTTCAAAAAATTATAATGAAGAAATTCTTAAAGTTAAAATTAATTTTTTTTTAATATTTTAAAATAATTTTTGAAAGATAATAGTTTTTCATTTATATTACAATTAAAAAATTTCCAAACAATAAAAATTTGTTAAAATCTTTTACAAATTGATTGAATTTTTGAAAAATATAAAAGAAAATAATAAATTTTTTGAAAAATTTTAATTAAAAATTAAAAATTCAATTATTTTTATAAATAAAAAATTTATTCACAGGAATTTTCAATTATTTTTAAAAATTGTAATAAAAATCTTTACACGAATTCGATTATGTTTATAAATAGAAAAATTCTTTGCACAAATTCAATTATTTTTAATGCAATTTAATTAAATTTGTCGAAAAAATTTTGCAAGAAGTCAATTATTTTCAAAAATAATAATAGTCTTCATAGGAATTCAATTTTAATGAGATTGCCACAAATTTAATTATTTTTTTAATGAAAAAGAGGTCACCTAAACTATTTCTAAAATCTACTTATTTATTCTTTCATTTCATAGAATTTCAACAATTTAAGAATTTTCCAATTAAATATTTATTCAAAAATTCAACTAATTTAAAAAAAAATTTTAATAAACACTTCTCATAAAATTAACTTCTTCAGAAATTTTTGTAACTTTTTTATAATTTTGAATTTAAATAGATAATTAAATTGTTGCATTAGAATTTTATTAAAATTAAAAAAAATTCAATTGTTTTTAAGAACTTTATGACAATTTTTGAAAATAATTAAATTCTTTTGAGGACTTCAATTATAATTCTATTTTATAAATATTTTTTAAAATAATTGAATATTCCTCTGAAGAATTTTACTATTTATGAAAATAATTTAATTCTTGCGAAGAATTTGTATTAAAATTATATTCAAAATAATTGAATTCGTGCAAAGATTTTTTTTTAAATTTTTGAAATATGAAAATAATTGAAAATTTCTGTGTAGAATTTTATTATTTATGAAAATAATTGAATTTTCGAGAAGAATTTCTTAAAATTTTAAAAAAGAAATGAATTCTTTCGAGAAATTTTATTATAATTGAAGTTTTGTGAAGACTTTTATTATTTATGAAAATAATTGGCTTCTTGCAAATTTTTTCGACGAATGTAATTTTAATTACATAGTAAAATTCAATTTTTATATAGAATTTTCTTAATTGAATTTCTTCAAAGAATTTTTCTATTTACAAAAAGAATCGAATTCGCATAAAGATTTTTATTACAATTTTTGAAAATTAATATATTGGTAATAATAAAAATAATAAATTAGTAAATAAATTAATTTTTTATATTTCGAATCTGAAATTATTCGAAAATTTAAGTTGATATATTAAAAATAATAAATTTTTTAATTGACATAGTATTAATAATGAATGAAATACTGCTGGTGTTCGTAATATTTTTAGTTATTTACAAAATTTGTTAACGCAAATTTTTTGAAGTTTAATCATTGTTTATAAAAAATAATAAATTAATTAATTCGAATTTTGAACGTTATTATGGATTTATAGATTTAAGTGTTAAAAAATGTTATAAAATCGAAAAAAAAAATTTCCAAAGACTTTCTTTTATCAAAAATTTTAAATTAATTAATTTGAATCTTAGAGGTGAAAAAAAAATTGAAAACAGAAAAACGTGACAACGTGTGTAATTGGTCATCAGAATTCTTTTGATACAGAGATCGTAATTGAATTTTGTCAGTCGACAGTTCTCGTGAAATTGATGTCAAAACGTTTTTTTTTTCTTTTTTTTTAATAGATTTTAATGTCCATGAATGGAAAATCGAGGTTGATAGGCTTCCAGTTCTGTTAAGAGGAGCAAATATTTAATCTACCTCCCTTTTTCCAAATACATTGGGAAACGAAACTTTCAATATTCGCGAAATACTTTTTCTGCCATTGGAACATCAAAAACATATTTACGCTTTTTTTTCTCTTTCCACCCGAATAAAAACTCGATGACAATTTTTGAAATAAAAAAAAAGAAATTTTATCAACTGAAATGATTTTCATTGGGTGTGGATTTTTTAATATGGATAATGAATATAAAATTTATTTTTACATTGAGAAATTTTTAATCTTAAATTGTGGAAGATTTTAACTATTTCATATTTAAATTGAGTGGATTAAGGGGTAAAGGGTTTTTTTTTTTGTATTTCTTTTCCTCTTTTACGAGAAGGCGAAGAAAAACTGTGTATAATTTTTGCGAATTTTATATAGAATTCCTGAAAGAAATGGGAATTTGACGAAGCTTAAAATCCTTCTAGAGCTTTAGGGACCTTAAGCTCTTTAAAGAAATTCGTGAAACGTGGTCACTTTTCATAAGCCTTTAGGTTACAATAAAGGTTATTACAGGGCAGCATAAAATAATGAAAATTAAATCAGTTAAAAATTAAAATCACGTTGAACATGGACAAATATTAATCACCTTTTCTTTTCAATGTTAAAAAAATACTTTTCTCTTTCAATTAAATTATTATTATTATTTTACATTTTTATTGTACTTTTTATAAATTTCTGTAAATTCTTTACCCGTTGAACGAATTTTTTAATAATTTGATATTGGTTGATTCTTTTCTACATTATTTTTTTTTTCTTTCTCCTTTTGAAATAATTTAAAAAAATTGTTAGCTACTATTGTTGAATTATTGTTATTATTTATTATTATTATTATTATCATTTTATTGTTACTGTTCACAATAATATAATTAAAGTTTAATTAATAATTATAATATGATTTGAAATTTATATGAATAATAAGAAACATTATAAAGAAGAGAAAAAATAAAGTTGAAAAAGTATTTTCCATCTTTTTTATTGCATATAACATTGTAAATTCATTTAAGTGAAAAGTTCTCGGCAAAAGTAAAGAAATGCTAATTGCAATTCCTTGCATTTCAAGTCGCTATTCTCAGCGAGATACTTTTCTGGAAAGATTTTCTCCGACGCAATTGATAATTATGTCCCTGTTAGAAGTGGAAAATATTCTAATAAGAGAACTTGTCAGAAAGAATTCATTTAATTTTTTTTTCTCTCTCTTCATAATCAGTGATATTCTGATAATTAGTGGCAAGTGATAATATTTATTTGTGATTGTGAAATAAATTTATTGGTTACTATTTAATTTTTAATTCCAGTATAGAAAGGAATATTTTTCGAATGCTAGTGATGTTTTATATTAATTAATTATTAATTATTTATTAATTTATTGGATGAAAAAAAGTTATAAACAGAGTTCAATTGGTGGTCCAACCTTGACTATGTTCTCTTAAGTAGAATGAGATAATTTTAGTCAGACATTGTAGAAGTAAAAATTATTTTCAGTCATAGTAGTAAAAACCTATATTAGTCAGACACAAATGTCGATATTTGCAAACATTTCGTTAGCTTAACATTGTTACAAGCAATTTTGCTTTTAGTCGTAAAAACCATTTTCAGTCAGACATAAAATTTTGTAGCTTATAATTGTTATACAAGTAATTTTGCTTTTAGTAGTAAAATACAATTTCAGTCAGACAGAATATCAACGAATTTATAAACTATTTTTATAATATATCATTGATTTAATTTTATTTTCATAAAATCAAATTTTAATCAGAAATAATGTTTCCAAGTAGCATGTAAATAAAGTATCATTATACAGTGAAAGTAAATTTATTATAACTGTATTTTTCAATCTGAATAGTAAAAATAAAATACTATATGGAACATTTCAATTTTGCTTTGAGAGAGACAGAAGTAATAATTTTGTAATATGAATTTATATCATCATTTGTTTTAGCCATTTGAATCATGAATTTACCATGTTTCAACATGTTACTAATGCTCATATCGTGTACTATTCACTCGGATTATGAACCTCTCTTATTTAATGATTACAATTATATACTGGCTTTAATAAACGTATAGTGTAATGGCAAAAGAGGCAATGCTGCTGTTGATTTCAAAACCAAAATCATTGCCACGAAAAAGATCCTTTTAGCTAAATCATCGCAGTTATCGCAAAATCTTGTTTCCATATTTCGATTTCAAATATATATTAATTATTTTGAAAATGTATTGATTTTCAATATTAATTATTTTCGTATTTTCCAAATTATTTTATATTATTAATTTAATAAAATTAGCAATTTTAAAAATAATTGAATTTGAAAATTTTATAATTTAAATTTTTGTTGACAACACTAAAAACATTCAATTATTTAAAAAAAAAAAAAATTCTTATAAAATTCAACTATGTACAAAATTTGAAAAAAAAATTCTCGTAAAATTCCCAATTATTTTTATAAATAACAAAATTCTTCACCAAAGTTCAATTATTTTCATAAATGTCAAAAAAAATGTTCTCCTAATTTCAATTATTTTCAAAAATAAAATGCATTTTTCTAATTTCAATGATTTTCAATATCTACTATTTTTAATAAAATTTCTCAAAAAGAATTCAATTATTTAAAAAAAAATTTTTTAATAAAATTGTATGCAAACATTTAATTATTTTCATAAATAATAAATTTTTTTTAAGGAATTCAATTATTATTTTCATAAAAAATAATTTAAAATGATAAAAATAATTTTGATGAATTTTTTTTTAAACTAATGGAGTTTCTTTAATAATTTTAATTAAAAATTTTGAAAGCAATTGAATTTTATGAAGAAGAATTCTATTAAAAAGTGAATTGAAAATAATTGAATTCTTGCGAATAATTTTACTATTTATAAAAATAGTTGAATTGTTTCGAAGAATTTATTAAAATATTAGAACATAATTGAAATTTATGGAAATGTTTAAAAAATATTGTGAATTCATCCGAGGAATTGAATTTAAATTGTTTTGAAAATAATTGAATTCCTTCAAAGTATTTTACTATTTATAAAAATAATTGAATTATTGCGAAGAATTTTACTATTTATAAAAATAATTAAAATGTTTCGTAGAATTTATTAAAATTTTAAGAAATAATTAAATTGTTATGAATTGTTCTATATTTAAAAATAATGAAATTTTTTCGAGAAATTCAATTAAAGTTGTTTCGAAAATAATGGAATTTCTTTAAAGTATTTTATTTTATTTTTTTTATTTTATTTTTATTTTATTTTTTTTTAAATATTTGAATTTATCAAATTATAATAATTAATTTTTTATTTTATTTAACTTTAAATTTACGATTATGTTCACTATATATTACTAGAAAAATATTTACTTGTTTATTATCAGCTTTTTTGTCAGAATCATTTTTTTAAAAATTATTTTGCAAATAAAAATGTCTTTCTGCAAAAATAATTTAATGGTGTTTTTAAAAAAAAAAAATTATTTGTTCTTGTTTATTATCATCAAGAGTTTATTTTGTACCGCACTAAATTGACAGGAGGAGAAAAATACTTTTCAGGAAAAAAAAGGAACAAATATTGTTGAATTGTATTTTCTTCACGTGTTAAATATAATTTGCCAAAAAATAGGAAACTTTTAGATTAATAAAATAATGGAGAGTCGAAAGAAAGGCTTTATTTTCTCGAACTTTGTCACGTACGAAACAAAAGGGGGAAAAGAAAAGTATCTCAGTGCTTTTTTTTCGTTAGCTTCCTTTATTTTCCAATGAAAAGAAACAACATTCTTCGTTCTGTTTTGTCATGCATCCCCCATCGAGGTTCACCAGACTCACGATTTCCGTGTAAAAAGCTTTTGTTTACAATTTTTCATATTACTCTGCATGTGTCCTCTTTTTGTTTCCCTCCGCATTCGTAAATACAAATTACTTTTTATAAACACAATTTTTTCCATTTACGCATTTTTTTATAATTTTTTTTTCAAATTTTGTTAATTTTTTTTTTATTTAATTAATTTTTAACGAATTAAATACTCTTTAGTATCATTATTACAATGGTACTAAAGAGTATTTAGTTATTTTCCTATTCGAATTTTTTTCCTTTTTGTCAAACTTTTTTTTTAATTAAATTTTGGTCATATTTTAATAATAGAAGTTTTTTAATAACTTGTTTCATATTTTTGGTAATAGAATTTTTTTTTTAATCATTGTTATATTTTTTTTTATTTTAATATTTTAACCTTTCATTGCAAGTAATTTTTCGAATATAATTACAATATATTTTTTTTAACGATGAGAATTTTAATTAAATTTATACGACATTGTAAAATAATAATAAAAAAAAATTTTTTTATTGGTTTTCCCATGAATGTTTTCAGAGATAGTCAGTTTAATAAAATTTACTTTCAATGTAAAACATTCCAGCTCGTTAATCGCTTGCACTACATAACGAATGTAATTTATTTCCGCGCAGATTGATAGCACTGTCTACATATGCACGAACATACAAATACTATTCAAGATAAAAAAAAAATTGTATTGTCTCGCGGGATATATGTTGTAAGGTAAATTATCCATGAATTTACTCACACCAGATGAATTGGTAAACGGTTTAGCATCAATTGTAATTTTCAAAAGCGAATTGTTAAGAATAGAGGAAGCAAATATTAATTTTGCTAATTAATATTATTATTGAAATTATATTTAATATTTTTAGAGTTTTTAATATTTTTATGATAATTAATTATAGTTTCTATAAATAAAAATAATATTAATAATAACAACAACAAGAATAATAATACTATTATTATTATTATTATTATCACTAATAATTTTTAATATTATTATTACTGTTTTTAACGACTTTTTTATTCCTTTATTTATTCTTATTTATTATTTATATATTTATTTATTTTTTAATTTATTTATTTATTTATAAATAAAGAGAGAAAAAATAACAGTAGTTACATTGTTAATCACTGAATTGTTTTACTTTTATTTTCAAAAAATAATAAATCAAAAAAAGGGTTGATCATCAATAATATTTTTTGTTTTCGATTGTTTTTTTAACAGTTGTAGTATAAACTGCGAGTTCATTTTTAAGCTCGATGAAATTGTCGGCTTAATCAATAAGCGACCGAGAAGAGTGATTAAGACCCGGGCTTAGTTTTTTTTTGCCTTTCTATTTTTTTTTTTTTTTTTAAGCTTCACTCAAAACGTTTCATGAAAAAAAAGTTGTATCAATTTTATTTTTTATCATTTGTTTTCAATTATTTTGTAAACTTTTATATGGCGAATGAAATATCGGTGAAAAAGTTGAATAATTGAGTAAATATGGGAACATATCAATCAAGAAGTTTACCGTCATCGCAAAGCTTTTGTGCAAATTTACCAAAGGATATGGGGGAGGGGGACGGCAGTGATTTTCTTTTTTTTTTTTTAGTGATGTATTAGAAAATATCAGGGCAAAAGTATCGATAAATCTTGCGCGTAAAATTTAAACGTCTGCCAAATAGGAAACAATGCATCACGAAGAAAAAGAGCTTTGTTGAATTTTTGGATCGTCAAATATTTTTTTTTTTTTTTTTTGCAAAGAAAAATTGGAAAAGAAATTATTTAGTTTTAAATGCCTATGTATAATGTGGATAATAAGAATTATTAATAATTAACAGTTTTAATAATAAATAAATTTATAACTGTAATAATTGTTATTAATATAATAATTGTGATAGTTATTAATAATTATTATTATTTTTAATTACTTATAATAATCGTCGTACCGTCACTTATTCATTCTGTCTATACCTGAAGTTAGTCATTATCGCGTTGTTTTGTTTTTTTAGGTTTTGACAGTTGAAAATTGTATTCTTAATAATTTTTTTTCTAATTTCTAATATTTTTCCTTCAAAGACAATACTATTCTGAAAAATGGCAATAATTTCTTTATATATAAAAATTATTTCAATTAAATTTAAGGAAATTTTCAATTGTTAAAAATGTTTTGAATCAATTGTTTTTGAGAATTCAATTATCTTGAAGATACTTTAATTAAATTTTTATTGACATTTTTCAGAAACATAATTTTTCCACAATTTCTAAATTAAACTATTCAATAATTCTTCAGTAATTTAGTTAAATTATTTTAAATATTTAGTTAGTTTATTTATTCACAAGAACTAAAATTTAAAAAATTACAATTTCAAATCTTTTGGAATTTAATTATTTCTTAAAATTAAAACCAAAATTCAATTATTTTTAAAAATTTTAATAAAATTTTTGTTAAAATGTCAACTATTTTCAAAAATTTTCCTCAATTTAATAATCTTCAATATCTACTATTTTCATAACATTTTCCAAAAAAATTAAAAAAAAAAATTTATTAAAATTCTACACAAACTTTTAATTATTTTCAAAAAATAATAAAAATTTCACAGGAATTTCATTATTTACATTTTTTTTTATAAATTTCTTCGCAACCATTGAATTATTTTCATAAATAATAAAATTTTTACGGGAATTCAATTATTTTCGTAAATAATAAAATTCTTTTTAGAAATTCAATTATTTTCATGAATAATAAAACTCATTGCAGAATTTCAATTATTTTAAGAACAATTTTAATCGAATTCCTCAAAAAATGTTTTGAAAATTTTATTAAAATTCGCCAAAAGAATTCAGTTATTTAAAAATGTATAGATTAATTCTTTATGAGAATTAAATTTTAAGAAACATGCAATTATTCAATAAATTGTTATTTTTGTATTTAAATAATTGAATTCTAGTAGAATTTTATCATAAACATTGATTTAAAAATAGATTTCAGTTAAAATATTAGATTATGAATGTTAAAAGCATTAGAGCGTAAATTTTAAGAAATAATTGGATTTTGAAAAGGTGACAAAGTAAAATTTTTGAAAATTTGAATTTTTCATATTTTTAACAAACAATTCTGTGAAATTAATTTTTATTGCGAAACTTTAATTGCGGATTTTGTTTTTGAAATTATTTAAGTTTTTATTTTCTAATATATATTTAATTGAAGAATTTACCAATAATCGTTTTTTTTTGTGGGAAATTTTATAAATAGTGACCATTTATAAATAGTTTTTTATTTAAATATATGTAACTCTTTTGGCCTGTAAAAAGTGTAATTTAAATATTATTTTATGCTTTTGAGTGAAATTCAAACGTGGTTAATTTAATTAATGTTTCAAGCTAAGTTGTGAACAAGTTTAGTACAACGTGTTGGTTTCATGGCATACAATTTTGGATAAACGTACCTGGAGTACCTTGCACATTCATATACTATTTCTGGAATAGCGTTGGGTGCTCTGATTCGAGGATAATTACAGCGCCGAAATGAATTGAAATAAGCGTCTGCTTTCCCCAGAAGTCGTCCCTGTAACATATTTAAACGTGAATTTATTACTATCTGCTTATTTCAAAATAGGAGGCAAATAATTAGAAATTTATTATTATAAATTATGCGCATTAGAAGACATTTTTCATAGTTTAATACAAATTTCTCTTGAAACAAACTCTAATTACAAAATTTATTAAATTTAAAAAAAATATTTTCATAAAATAAAAAAAAAATAATAAAAATTATATCTTTTTATTATTATTTCAATTGGGTGCAAAATTTACATAATTCAAATTAAGAGAGATTTTCTTGTTGTTATTGTTATTTTTCTCTAGAGAAAAAAAAATTGTTTATTATATTTTGTTTTTTATTAAAAATTGCATTGAGGAAAATTTTCAAAGAAGCAATTTTTTTTTCTTTTTTGGGAAAATACAAAAACATGTATATATCGCTTGTGAATCTAGAATCTTTATACCAAACGAGAAAGGCAGCAAGAGCGAATGTAAATTTTTCTATGCATTTATTCATTTCGGTCAGCGACGTTTTAATACAAGGGGTGTCCTTTGCATGGAGAAAAAATAGCACCGATTAATATCTTTGATGCATAACTACAGAATAGTCGCATTTAGATATTAATTTTCAATATTTCCGTTATTAGATTGAAAAAAGGGAATTCCACAGTAATTAAAAATAACGCTTAATTAAAATAATGTGGACATATTTCAATAAATACAAAAACTAATGATAAATAATAATAATAATAATAATAATAAATAAAATATGGATTTTAGAATAAAAAATACAAATAAGAATAAATAAAAAAGTAAAAAAAAATAATATAATAAAATAACTAAAATACCTGAATTAAATAAATAAATTAAATACTTAAAGTGAAAATAATTTTTAATAATTTCATCTGGAAATAACACTTTTGATTCTGTTCCGTTTTTCGAGAATTTATTCCAACATAATTTTTTTTAATTACAACTTATCTGAAGTGATGGCAGTTAAAAAAACATTAAATTCACTTTATTGCAATTTTTCACAATTTTTTTTTTTTTCTTTTTTTTGAGGGGAGGAAAATTTTATATTAAAATTGTAATATTATGTTCTCGATATGTACTTTCTATTTGGCAACGTGATAAAAAATGAAAATTTCATTTCCAAAGGAGAGTATTTTATATATTGGAGCACCCAGTGTGTATATACGTGTGACTGTAACTCCATGGAAACTTTAAAACGCTTTTCACAGAATTTAAAATCAGAAAGAGGCTTAGAATGCAAAGTCTGAATCTCTGAAGAATGGATGCTTTAAGAAAAGTGTAGGGTATTATTCATTCATGGAATTTTTTCCCCTCCCTTTTTCTCTCTCTCTTTCTCTCTCCTTCCTTGCTTCCTTCCTTTCACCCTTTTTTTTGCACCTTACAATTTTTCAATCTATGGCTTCTCTCCAAATGAAATTGACAGCTTCAACGAGCGATATTTCAAATGATTACAACCTTCGTATATCCGATATTCGAGCATGGCTTTTCTGAGTTTCATCAAAAGGATAACGATTTCTACATTTGCTTTCGAGTATTTTCTTTTTATTCTCTGTGCATTTTATAGGTAATTGTCAATTTTTCTTCTTTTTAATAAAAAAAACACTTTAACTAACAGGTTATTTTGATTTTTTTTTAATTCTATTTTTATTTTTGTTGATTATTTACTGATTAGAAATCAATAAAGTTGAAACAATCAAGACAATTGTTGCAAATGTAATGATTATAGTCAGACGTTTTTATAAATTTTTACAAAATAAATAAATGTGAAGATGTATTTTATAATTAGTAGAACATGAATTTTTTAGTTAGACAAAATTTTTATTACATTTAAGTAGTAGAGTTAGTGATTATAGTCAGATGTATTTTTTATCCTAGTAGAAAATGAAAGCTTTGGTCAGACAAAAATTGGATTATATTTAAGTAGTAAAAGTGATGATTATTAATCATCTCTGATTCAGAAAAAATTTTTATCTAGAAAAATGAAAATGGTCTTAACACTTTTTTGTACGATTCTTAAAGTGTATTATCAAATTAGGGCTTTTTTGAATAAAATAGTAATTTTTTTTAGGAAAAAAGGGCTTGTTTCTAAAAAAAGACGCTACTTAGAAACTATTCAGAATCCATGTCTGCTTCACAAAAAATTTATATCGAGAAAAACGTTGCTGGTCTTGACATTTTTTAATACCATTTCGTGTTCAATATCAAATTATGGTTTTTTATTGCAAAAAGGCCTTTTTTTTACTAAAAAAGAGTCGGTAACTAAAAATACTGTTTTTTTTTCTAAATTTTGTAATTTTTGTCTCAGTAGTAAAAGAAATTTGTAGTCAGACAGCAATTTTACAATAGTTAATTAGTATAAGTACGTAAAATTAATTTTTCGTCAAATTATGTCATTTTTTCTATTAGTAGTAAAAGTCAGGAATTTTTATTAAAGTACTGGAAAAAATTGAATTTAAAAGTAGTTACGAATGATTGCAGAAATTCAATTATTTTCAAAAGTAATATTGAAAAACATTCATTTAGTTAGTAAATTATTTATTTTTGTATTTAAATAATTTAATTCCCGTAGAATTTTCGAATAAAAATTAAATTAAAAATCAATTTCAATTAAAATTTTACATAATAATTGAATATTAAAAGAATTATAGCATGAATTTTCAGAAATAATCGAATTTTGAATATTTTTGAAAATAATTACATTTTTCAAAGAATTTACTTAAAATTGTATTAAAAATAATTGAAGTCCTGTAAAGAATTTTATTATTTATGAAAATAATTAAATTCCTCCAACGAGTTTCATTGAATTTTTTTGAATAATTGAATTATTGCAAAGACTTTTATTAACATTTTTAGACATAATTGAATTCTTTTGAATCATTTTATGAAAATTTAAAAAACTAATTAAATAATTTAGAATAATTGAATTACAATTGTATTAAGAATAATTGTATACTTGTGATTAATTTTATTATTTAAGAAAATAATTGAATTTTTATTAAAAATAATTAAAATCCTGTGATAAATTTTATTATTTAGGAGAATAATTGAATTATTGCAACGAATTTTTATTAAATTTTTTTTTAAATAATTTAAATCCTGTAGAGAATTGTATTATTTGGGAAAGTAATTGAATTCTTGGAACGCATTTTATTAGATTTTTTGAAAATAATTGAATTTTTTTAAGAAATTTTATTAAAATATCAGATTTTGAAAATATTTAAATTTCAGCGAAGAATTTTATTATTTGTGAAATGTAATTGAATTATTGCAAAAAATTTTTGGAAAATAATTACATTTTTCGAGGAATTTATTTAAAATTATATTAAAAATAATTAAAATCCTGTAAAGAATTTTATTATTTATGAAAATAATTGAATTCTTCGAACGAATTTCATTGAATTTTTTTAAATAATTGAATTCTTGCATAGGATTATATTAAATTTTTTAGAAATAATTTAATTTTTTTGAAGCATTTTATGAAAATTTGAAAAAAACAATTAAATTATTTAGAACTATTAAATTGAAATTCTATTAAAAATAATTGAAAGCCTATGAAAAATTTTATTATTCATGAAAATAATTGAATTCTTACAACGAATTTTATTACATTTTTTAAATAATTAAATTCATAGGGAAAATTTTATTACCTTCTTCTACGTTTGTAAAAGTAATTGAATTATTGGGAAGGATTTTATTAAAATTTTTGTAAATATTGGATTTTTTTTTTTTTTTGAAAAATTTTATGGAAATTTAATTTATTATAAAACATGAAGATATCAAGCATTACTTCTTTTTTAATTTCTATTTGTTGATTATTTAGTAATATTTGTATTTCCTGATTGTTTACTGTTTAGAAAAAATAATTAATTAATAATAATAATTAACCACTAAAAAAAAGAGTCGTAACAATTGTTTCTAACTGTCGTTTATTAAAATTGTTTCTAGAACAATTTTTTTTTTTACATCCAAACTTTCGGTATAAAGAAACAAGCATAGTATAAAAATATCTCTGTTAAGTGGTTAAATTTTTAAGTGCAACTAGTACATAAATCATTTGCTATCTCGTGAACAAGAAATGAAGGAAGCACATGCATTTTCACACAGGAGCAATTAAACAAAGATTTGTCAGACGTTGGTTGGTGCAACTGGCCGTGAAAATATTGGACTTTTCTGCTGGAATTACTCTTATACACAAGTCTCATTATTATTCTCACGATGTTCGCCTACTCGAAAAGTTTAATTTACCTACTTTCATAAAGTATTCGACTGCGACTTTTTTTTCTCTCCTAAAATATTATGTACAAGCTTGTAGATTGGAGAGACTAAATTTTTCTTTTGTCTTTTTTCGCAAATATGGAGCTGTACTTTTTTTTTTTGCTTTAATATCACAAAAATATGAACTTAATATTATCCTCTATTACTTTGAGAGCTTTTTTTAATTTTACAGAACTAATAACTTTTCTTGTAAATTTTTTTTTGCTTTCTTTGTTTTTTACTGTTCGGTTAGTGTAGTTCTTTTCTTGTTGTTGTTCGTTAATTTTCTTTAAAAGAAAACTTCTTTTTTTTGGTTTTTTTCTTCTTTTATTTTCAATGTAGATTTTAATTAACTTGAATAAATTTCGATTGAATGAAATTTTATTAGAGGTCGTGAAATTGTATAAGGATTATACAAATGATTTTAAATATCGATGAAGAATATTCTCGATAAGACGCTTAAGAGTTTGGGGGAACTTTACATTAGTTTCTGTAGAAGCCTTTCATCTATTGAAATTCAATCCTTATTGAAAATTAATGGCTCACCGAATACGAATCATGACGAAAATTGACTTCGCTTTTAAAAGAAGTTGTTGAAACAGAAATAATTTTCAAAGTAAAAGGGAAGTTTAATTTTATACTAAAATAGTTGACTATTATTTGAAAAATTACTTTCATTTTGTTTCCATTTGCCCAGAAATTTACTAATGCAGTCAACGAAAATTAGTTTTGAATTCA